CCCAGCGAGGACAAGGAAAACGAAGCGCCACCCGCAGATGCCGTGTTGACAGATATCCCAGTATCTCAAGATATGGAGAGCAATCTTTCTCCCAAAGGTGAGGCACCGGCTATCACTTTCGGGCCACCAAATCAGCCGCCTCCAGTACCTCCGCGACCAACAGTACAAGTTGACCCACAAAAGCAGCTTCTGGAGGAGGTAGAAATAGGTGCTCAGCAGGATGTCACCGAAGTGATCAACAATGTCCTTTTCCAGAGCCAATGCGCAATCAAGCCGATCGCATTCGCCCAGGATGGTGAACAACTTGACCAAGTGAAAGAGTAGGTTCTAATGACGCTTAGATTCGCTCAATGTACGGCGCTAACATGTGATTGATAGCCTATTCTACGGACGGACCAAATCATATATTCTTGCGGAAGCAGGTGTTCGGTCCAAGGAGGAATGGTGGTGTGATATCAAGGTCGATGTCGCGACGGGACCTCGCGATATTTATTCAGCGATCGATGGCGCGTTTGATGCCCAAAAAGTCAATGTTGATGATACCGTCGTGGAGCAATTCGGTGCCATTAGCAAGCTACCTCCGGTCCTTCAGATCCAAGTGCAACGAGTACAATTCGACCCAGTCAAGAAGAGTTCTTTTAAGTCCACCCATCACCTTGAACTCAAGGAGACGATCTACCTTGATCGTTATATGGACACACAGCATCCTGAGATCATGAATCGACGACGGCAGTGCTGGGAATGGAAGAATACGTTGAAGACACTTGAAGATCGCCGTGCCGAGCTGCTACGCCAAACCGTAAGGGAAGACATATATCAGTGTTGTATTGAAATCTAATTGATTTTAGGAAAATGACGGCCTCGACTTGGCAACTCTGTTCGATAGCGCTAGAGCGGTTATTGAAGATCTGGATCAACTAAAGGCGGATCCTGAAACTGCTGACGATGCCCTCGACATCAACCCACAGCTTCCATCTGAGCTAGCCCAACTCTCTCAGATTGCGAAAGCCGAATTGAACTGTGAGCATTTCTTTATTGTTCGAGGCACTCGCAGCATCTTTAGCTGACCTTCTTCATTCTAGACGTCGAACAAGAAATTAAAGATACACAAACCATGATCTCCAGCCAGTTTGTCGACTTCAAGCATTTGGCCTATCGGCTATATGCGGTCTTTGTGCACCATGGGTCTGTCGAGTTCGGCCATTATTATATCTATATTTTTGATTTCAGGAAGAATGTCTGGCGCAAGTACAACGACACTGAAGTCACCGAGGTGACCAACACGGACGAGATTTTCAAGAACCACGAACGCCAGAACCCTCCTACCCCATACTTTCTGGTTTACGTCAACGATGGTCTCAAGGATCGCTTGGCCGATCCTGTTTGCAGGCAGATTATTGAAGACCCTGCACCCAGCGAGACTATCCCCTCGACCGAAGCGATTGTTCCCATGGAAGGGGTCACTGCGACAACCTTGACACCTCAACAGGACCTGGACATGGAACCGCCCGCCTACGATGAGGCTCTGGCTGATACTCAGAATTCAGGTACGAAAGCTGTCCTCGATGTGAAGTGAGCGCCTGTCGGTGCGGCGGGTCGCAAGTCTCGTGCTCCGACACGGTCGGCGAACAACGAGGCTGATAAGCGTGATGTGGAATAGTAGGAACAGAGAAGGTCTCTCCGACACTTTCCACGACCGCGAATCCACTTAAACGCAAGAACGAAGGCGACACGAGTTGTGCGTGATGGTGTACTCTATACAGGGGTTGTCTGTCTCGCCCACTTGGTTGAGTTCCTCCCGTCATATTATATGTTCTGATACCTGTGCATACTAGCGGGATTCGATCTATTACTTTATGTTCATGTAGATAATGAAAGATACCATGAGGCATGGGTAATGATCTATATCAAGCACGCGATTGAGCCATGATAAAGTCAGCGGACGAGCTTGAGCGGCCCGCGGATCGGCACCGGAAAGACAGAGGCATCGGCTCCCACATCGGATAAGCTGTGTCACCCCGGATTGTAAGCGTTATCAAGTGCTCAAAGTGCATCCAGATGGCAGAAACCGTAGATAGCAAAGAGAATACTTTGGTTATATAAAGTAGTATTCTTGTTCGCATTGTGCTTCTCCTGAGTAGTTAACCGGAATGTTACTGATGATTGGCTGTTGGAGCAGAGTGCGGGGTATTTCCGGGGAAGGACGGCAGGCGCGGCTGACTTTCCGCAACTCCGCGAATGGCCGCTCGTTTCCAGCTTCTTATATTTCTCCGCACGCCTCGACCTTGACGGGAGGCAGCTCATAATCTCCTGTCCTAGTCTTCGGTTGAGTCTAATCCCTAAGGATTTCTTATTTGTGGTTGAGAACGAGCATTGTTAACGAGTGCGGACGTTGCAGCTTCTGTCGAGCAGTGTTTATTTCCTCCCTGTTTATACACCCCCTTCATAATGCCTTCACAAGTGGCAACGTGTCTGCGCCTTGTGCGGCAATTCTCTGTCAATCCTGCAAAGGTACGGCACAATTATTCGGAATGATGCGCCAAACTAACAACTGCTCTCTAGCACCAACGGTTCCTCGCACGAGCATTCTCGAGCAGCCTTCACCGGAATGATATCAACAAGGTGGTCGCTTCTGCCGAGGAAGCCATCAAGGATATGAAGCCCAACTCAACCCTTCTTGCCGGAGGATTCGGTCTGTCCGGCGTTCCCGACACACTGATCGGCGCCGTGCGCGCCAACCCCTCGATCACAGGCTTGACCGTTGTCAGCAATAACGCAGGCGTTGATGGAGCTGGCTTGGGTCTGCTCCTCCAGTCGAAGCAGATCAAGAAGATGATTGCCAGCTACGTTGGAGAGAATAAGACCTTTGAGCGGATGTATCTGACTGGCGAGATCGAGCTGGAGCTGACGCCACAAGGCACGCTGGCCGAGCGGTGTCGTGCCGGTGGCGCCGGTATCCCTGCCTTCTTCACCCCAGCGGCCTGTGGAACGGTCGTCCAGACCGGCGAGCTGCCGCTCAAGCATAACCCCGACGGCACGGTGGCTCAGTACAGTCAGCCGCGGGACGTCAAGGTCTTCGACGGCAAGAGCTATGTGATGGAGGAGGCGATCAAGGGTGACTATGCCTTTGTCAAGGCGTGGAAAGCCGATAAGCTGGGTAACTGCCAGTTCCGGTACGCCGCGGCCAACTTCAACGGCGCGATGGGCCGCAACGCCAAGACGACCATTGTCGAGGCCGAGCACATCGTTGAACCGGGTGAGATCGAGCCGGCTGCTATCCACCTGCCGGGTATTTACGTCAAGCGCGTCGTCCAGAGCACGGCTCCAAAGAACATCGAGAAATACACCTTTGCCAAGGAGGATGGTGACGACACTGCCGCCCTCGGCAAGGGCGATACGGCCGCGAAGCGGGAGCGCATCGTTCGCCGTGCCGCCAAGGAATTCAAGAACGGCATGTATGCTAACCTTGGTATTGGCATGCCCATGCTGGCGCCCAACTTTGTCGATCCCTCGGTGGAAGTGATGCTTCAGTCGGAGAACGGTATCCTCGGCCTGGGCCCTTACCCTAAGAAGGGTCAGGAGGACGCGGACTTGATCAACGCCGGCAAGGAGACCGTCACCCTCATTCCCGGTGCAGCAGTCTTCGGCAGTGATGAGTCGTTTGGTATGATCCGCTCTGGACGCATCGACCTGACCATTCTGGGTGCGATGCAGGTGAGCGCGCGTGGTGACCTGGCCAACTGTGAGTCTCTTTTCTTCCCTCATTATTCGCCCGTGACTGACTGTATTGTAGGGATGCTCCCTGGTAAGATCAAGGGCTTCGGAGGTGCAATGGACCTAGTCTCCAATCCCTCCGCCACCAAGGTTGTGGTGACTATGGAGCACACAGATAAGAAGGGCAACCCTAAGATCGTCAAGCAGTGCGAGTTCCCTCTAACCGGCAAAACCTGCGTCAGCCGGATCATCACCGAGCTTTGTGTCTTTGATGTCGACTTTACTGACGGATTGACCCTGGTCGAGCTTGCTGATGGGGTTACTGTCGAAGAGGTCCGGAGCAAGACGGAAGCTCCATTCAAGGTTGCGGGCGATGTCAAGCCCATGCTGTGATTTATTGCTATCGTACGCTGTGGTGAAGCAAAATTTTGGAGTTTTATCTGATACCTATGGGCTTGAGCGTGATTGGATTCGGATTGTACATAGCATTTGTTGTATGCCACTTCTATATATCTTGTGCCTTGCTCGTTTTGCTAATGGATGAAAGCCTCTTTGCAGCGTCACTTTCATTCTCATCGAATCGCGTCACTAGTTCAAGGCTTAATTGCGATACGACGGTCCCGGTCTGCATGTACTTCTTCTACCAGAAGTTTGTCATTCTATTTGTTCAGAATTATTCGATACATCGCGTTTTTAAGATCGACTCTGCCGTTCGAAATAGGCTCACGCTGCTCCTTGCTGATCAATGCATCTCCCACGTGGCCATCTGACAAGGATTGACAGGGAAAGAATTCTAGAAATTGGAGACAAAATAGAGAAGTCACTGGAGACAACTATGTTTACCTCCAGTCTTTGACAGCTCCACGAGAGAAACTCACGCCAGCCACTGAAGGAAGAGTCCAATCCGGCGACTCAATCACCATCAGTGCTGGATGCATGTGCCGACGGGGGCGTGAACGCCAAGAGCGCCAAGAATCAGTGTTGCTTTCAAAGCGGAGAAAAGTTGGAGATGCGTGCGATTTCGAGCAAGTCAGATGTTATGGTTTGTGCACGGGGTGGTGGACCTTATCAGCGGAAATTGCCATGCAGGGGGGTTTTTTAGATATTGCTACCAAGCGAACTGGGAAGTGAATGGTCCCATGTGCTCATGTCATCATGGAAGAGGCTGGGATGTATTTATGGCTACGAGTGAATACTTGATCTCGAGGATATAAAAGCGCTATGTGACCCGGTTGGAGGGAGTAAGCATCTCCTGCTTACAAGTGCAAGTGCAAATTATCAGCACCATGCATCTCACGTCTCTGGTCCTCACTGCCGGCCTAGCCGCAGCCGCACCCTCGTTCAACCCCCGCGGCAATGATCACGACTCTCGTCCAACAGTCACTAACATCCAGGTCGGGCCTCGTCCGTACTACCTGGTCGACGCAATGGCCGACAGCCCGCTGAAAAAGAAACTCCAGTCCTGCTCGGAGAAGCGCATCAAGCACGCGCCCGCCTTCTCCATCTCCCACCGTGGTGGTCCGCTCGAGTTCCCCGAACACACCCGCGAGGGCATTCTCGCCGCCGCGCGCATGGGCGCAGGCATCATGGAATGCGATGTCGCGTTCACCTCAGACCGCCAGCTCGTCTGCCGCCACTCGCAGTGCGACCTGCACACGACGACCAACATCCTCACCATCCCGAGCCTGGCAGCAAAATGCACCGTCCCCTTCCAGCCCGCGACGAACGGCAAGTCCGCGACAGCCAAGTGCTGCACCTCCGACATCACCCTCGCCGAGTTCAAGACCCTCTGCGCCAAGATGGACGGGTACAATGCTTCCGCTACCACGCCCGAGGACTACCAGCACGGCACGGCGGCGTGGCGCACGGATCTCTACGCGACATGCGGCACGCCGATAGAGCACAACGAGTACATCGAGCTGGTGGACCGTCTGGGCCTGCAGTTCACGCCAGAACTGAAGACGCCGGAGGTGGCCATGCCGTTTGGTGGCAACTACACGCAGGCAATGTACGCGCAGCAGCTCATCGACGACTACAAGGCCCACGGCATCCACCCCTCGCGCGTCTGGCCGCAGTCGTTCCTGCCGGACGACATCTTCTACTGGCTTCAGCATGAGCCCAAATTCGGCAAGCAGGCGATCTACCTCGATGAGCGCGTCGATACCGCGGCCGGATACCAGCAGGCCGTGGACGGAATGGCCGACCTCGCTAAGAAGGGCGTGAAGATTATGGCGCCGCCCATCTTTGCGCTGCTGAATACCACCGCGGACGGGGAGATCGTGCCGTCGACGTATGCGGTTGCGGCGAAGAAAGCCGGGCTGGATATCATTACCTGGTCGCTGGAGCGGTCGGGGCCCCTGAAGGCGGCGGCCGCCAAGGGAGAGTACTATATCCAGTCTGTCAAGTCGACGATCACCGGGGACGGGGATATGTATCGCATTGTGGACGCGTTGGCACGAAAGGTGGGCGTCAAGGGAATTTTCTCGGATTGGCCGGCCACGGTGACGTATTATGCTGCTTGTATGGGATTGGACTAGACTTGTTTGTGCTGTACGATAGACTAGCTGGATTGATTCCTTCAGATTCCTGCATGGCCGAGGTTTCATATATACGAAGTACAACGTTTCGACCTCTCATTCTTAGTCTCCTGGCCTCGAGATCCCACTCTAAATCATCTGTAGGAGCGTCTCTGCACGGAAAAGTAGTCCTCACGTCATATTCCTCCGTCGATCGAGACAATGATGCTGTCTAATTCTGCAGCCGTGGGAAGGCTTGAGTCTTCAGCCAAGCATTCGTGGAATTATGCCCCTCCGACAACGGAAGGAAAGTCACCTGATCGGCCACGTGCCTCAGTGCGTCTGGAAAGTCTTTCTGTTCCAACCAATCAGACAAGCAGAAATCTGTCTGCCAAGAAGCTGCTAATATCGCTTAGACTCTGTTCGGCAGTTCCTCATTGTTGTCCGTGTCCTTCTCTAGAGATGTAGTGTCAACAAGAGGTTGGTTATCCACTGGTGTAGCCTGAATGAGGACAAATCGCTAAACATTTCCTCAACGATCAATCAAAAGAAGCCTCTGTGCTCCGTTGTATCCGTCCCTTCCGAACAGTCCGTTCTACAGAGGAGTTATCTGTCTGAGTCCGAAAGGCGAACAAGTGAAACGCCAAGAATGATCCGACAAGGCCTCGTCATCTCGTGGGGATCTGTGGAACGCACCAGCGGCGAGATCATCCTCCAGCAATGCTGCAGTCAGCGTTGGAGATCCAATAATAATGTTCTGGAAACGGAACGTAGTGAAGACTGAACCAGGCTCGGCAATGTACCTGATCAACGGCTCCTCATTTCCCCTTTTCGTTCGAAATTATACAAGCCTTACGAGTGTTTTTAGTCTGACGGGCTGTCATGGATCTGACCCGCATTTTCTTGTCTTATCACTCTGTCGCAACATTAATTGACACTCCCAGTGTCTTTCCCTCTCCCCTCGACTTTTCAAGTCTCTCACAATGCTGCGATGGGCCTTAGCATTATTGTTGCCGCTCTTCCTGCATAATGTGGCCGCGCAGCAGCTTGACGAGGATCTCATGTCCTTTGTGACGGTAGGCTACTTTATGCTTCTTTCTTTTTCTCCGCCTAGCAAACTGCGAAAGATCGATCGCCGTGCTAATACGAGATCTGCCACCTCCAGCTTCCTCAAATACGAGCCTTGAAATTCGACGTCCACTACCAGGATCGCGACCGTGTCAGCCCTGGTTATTGGTTCGTCGCTCCGTATGGTCAAATCGACCCTGAAGCGCCGACCCATCGATTCGAACAGTATCAGGTTGGACCGTATATCTACGATGGCGACGGCACTCTCGTCTGGGCTGGATCGCCCATGTTCGATAATCGAAACGTTTTTGATTTCAAAGCTGTTCACAGTATCGGGGATGAGCCGCATCTCTCGTTGGTTTGGCAGCATTCATGGGACTATGAAGATCAGGGCCATGGGGTGATTCTGAAAAACAACTATGAGATCCAAAACAAGCTCCCCTTTCGTGAAGATTTGGGCTCCTTCGATATACACGAATTCAATATTCTTGGTGACGGCAAAACGGGCCTGGCGATGACATATCGAGAGCACGAGGTCAGTCTGGAGGACCTTGGGCGCCCTGAAGAGCGAACAGCGATCCTGACCGGTGGGTTCGTGCGACTGGATCTCAACACCGCGGACATCTTGTTCGAATGGGACTCCCTCAACCAGGTTCCCTTGCACGAGTCTGTCCGCTATGGCCCCGACTCGCCGACGGAAGGACGTCCCGGCTGGGACTATGTGCATGCCAACTCCGTCGATATGAATGCTGCGGGAGACTACATTGTGTCCTTCCGCTTCACCAACACCATCTACCTGATTTCGGGGGCGGACGGACGCATTTTGTGGCGGCTCGGAGGCCAGGGCCAGCGCAGCGACTTTGTGCAGGATTTCACTTTTTCCAAACAGCATGACGTCAAATTCGTCGAGTCCAACGGTACTCACCACATCATCTCTTTTCTCAACAACGCCTCGGACGAGGATACAAATGACGAGCCCGTTTCATGCGCTCTGATTGTAGAGCTCGACACCGGCGTACAACCGATGACAGCCAAGGTCCTCCGGCGCTACAACCGCCCTGACGGGGGGCTGACCCGGCTGCGTGGGAACGCGCAGCTGCTTCCCAACAACAACCTTTTTGTCGGCTGGAGTGAACATGGGTACATCACCGAGTTTGCCCCCGAAGGCGAGGTCCTGCTGAGTGCGATGTTCAACTCGACTCGCTTCTCGACCTACCGGGCCTACAAGTTCGAGTTCACCGGCCGGCCCAACACGCCGCCCGACCTGGTCGCCTCAGTCGCCGGGACAGACGCATCTGATCTCGCGACGACATTTTATGTCAGCTGGAACGGGGCCACCGACGTTGCGCGCTGGGACTTTTACGCACGTGCCGCAGCCAACGCCCCGCCTGTCCTCATTGGAAATACCACCAAAACGAATTTTGAGACCATCTATATCGCCCACGGATATCTGGACTGGGTCTCCGCCGAGGCGGTCGATCACGCCGGCAAGGTCCTGGGGGTATCGCGGGTTCATCGGAGCCGTGTGCCCGGCGACTGGGCCGCAGCGGGGTTCAAGGGCGAGGTGGCAGAACTGCATCCTACTGATCCATACCTTTTGTACTCGCAGAAAGAAGCCGACCAGCAACACGGTAGCAACTCGAGCATCCCTGCAGGAGTCGAAGCAGATACAAGCGGTAATAGCAGTATCACACCTGTCGACACTGCGGAGGAGGCTCTCCGGATGGCGCATGAGACGTATGAATTGGTCCGGGACTTTGGGCTTCTCTTTACGTCTGTGCTGGTCCTGTGTCTTGTCGTTGGGATTGCGACGTGTGTGTATACGGTGCTGCGTCGACGGCGCACGAAGACGTACCAGCATGTTCCGAGTGAGGAGGGGCTGCCCGAGGAGCAGATCCGGCTTCAGTCAACGACTCATGAGTGAGTTTGTACATTGTGTACATTCTGTATATATATATTTGCATTTGATACCTGAACTTCACATGATGATATGTGCGTCCACAGCGATAGATAGAACGATTACCTGCTTCCATCCCCTTGACCGTATCCTGGATAATCTAGCTTTATGCACATAGAGATGCATGCTCACCAGACCCAACACAACTGTGTCCGCCTTCACATTATGGATAGACATGGCGGCAGTGGATCTGTAGATGTCCGATACTGATATTGAACAGTCGATATGGGCTGATCTGTATACGCAATCTGATTGGGTCCTGAGGTATATGACAGCGCCAAGAGACAGCTTCAAATTCTAACCAATCAAATCACCCAATTCGAGTGTTTTTCGCTGCTGCTGACAATTACTTTCTACTTGAGTCATGACAGTAGCCTCGCAGTATATAAAGTAAATATCCAATTGCAATTGCAATCGCAATCTACATCTCAATCTCACCTCTATTTAATACCCTACTGATTCAATCAAAATGCTCAACCTCTCCCTCCCCACCGCCCTCGTCCTAATCGACAACCAAGCAGCCTTCACCCACCCAACCTACTGGGGCACCTCGCGCTCCAACCCCTCCTACGAAACCAACCTTGCCTCTTTGCTTCATGCCTTCCGCACAGCCCGAAAGACCAACCCCGCTCTCCCCCTCGAAATCATCCACGTCTTCCACTCCTCCACCTCGCCCACCAGCCCGCTCCACCCCGCCGACCCCAGCAAAGGTGCCCACCCGCTAGACTTCGCGCAGCCCGCGCCCGACAACTCCGAGCCTGTTTTCTGGAAAAACGTGAACTCGTCTTTTATCGGCACAGGGCTGGAGGGGTATCTCCAGACCAAAAAAATCAGGCAGGTGGTGTTTGCGGGGTTGACGACGGATCATTGTGTGTCGACGACGGTGCGGATGGCGGCGAATTTGGGGGTTGGGGATGTTTATCCGGAGGGACGGCCGGAGATTCTCGCGGATGGAACGCAGACAGTCAAGCCGGTCGAAAAAGGGGTTGTGGTGCTTGTTAGTGATGCGACGGCGACGTGGGCGAAGGGCGGGTTTGATGCGGAGACGGTGCATAAGGTTTCGGTGGAGAGTTTGAGGGGGGAGTTTGCGGAGGTGATGAGTACGGAGGAGGTGGTGCGTTGCTTAGAAGCTGCTTCATAGAGATAGTTATTTAGGTGGTTAGGAGAAAGCAATGAGGTGTACCGTATTCGCCACTTCGCTGTGGGATGACAGCGGAGATCTTCATTATACTTTATTGTATACTTGGATACCTCGAGGTTACCGTTTGGGAACCAATGATGCATTCGCATACCAGAGTCCTGACATCATCATGAGAGATCGATATATATAAGAAATGCTGAGGACCTCTACTCTTCTCAGCTTATGTGTATCAAGCAAATAATACCTCTCTAGTGAACCCATAGTCCATACAATGTCCTTGAGACCCATCACCACTACTATCCGGACCTCCCTCCGCTTCAGACCCCTCCCCCTCCTCAGAGCCTACCATCACCCAGAGCTATCCAACAAAGGCGAGAAATGCAAGTCTCTCATCACAGCCAGAGCTTATGACTACTAATCATGGTGATTAGTCTACATCCCGCCGCAATACCCCGACAACTTTGAATCTCCCCCCCTCATCAAGAAAAAAGACAGCAGCGGCCACGAGAGATGGGAGGAGATTGACTCGACAGTAAGCGAGGCGTCGGTCAAGGCTGATCGGGGCGACGTGCAATTCGAGGTGAAGCAGCAGGAGAGCAAGAGTAAGAAGAAAGTTCGGCAGGATTTGGAGCCTGAGCCGACTGTTCACGATATGTGATTATCAAAATTGCCAGCCGTCTGTCTGTCTGCGATGCGACTGAGAATGTAACTGATTGATATCATTTATATCTATTGAAATGAACTAATTAACCTGCTGTTTCAACCTCCTGCACTTCCACTTTCCTGTCTACCTGAACATCTCGAGCATGCTGCCCCGGAGTGACGGTTCGGCCTCCCTTGGACGACAAGACACCCCCTGTAACTCCCTCCTTGGCAAAGAGTAGCGGGATATCCTCCCAACTCCGGGGCCTTAGTCTCAGGATAGAAGCAGTAGACCATCGGGATGAAGGCGGCATTCAGCACGGCAAATATAATGAACGATTTCCCACCGATGTTCGCTGCTCTCATCAGTATTCAACATGACATACACAAGCACAGGGACACCCACCAAATGCAATCGGGGTAATCTTCACCACCGCAAAAACCGCCATCCAGTTCCACCCCGACGCAATCGCCTGCATCTTCGTGCGCACGCGCGTGGTATTAATCTCCGCGGAATAGAACCACGGCACAGGCAACCAGCCAACCCCATAGAACAACTGGAAGACAAAGATAAACGCCGTGACTCTCCATATGCGGCCCCCTCACGCTCCAGCGAGAGGAGGAGCGAAACCATCACAAAACAGAGACACAGGCCCGCAGAGCAGACCATCAGCAGCGTTCGGCGGCCGAAGCGGTCCATCTGGAGGACGAGGATGGCGCTGCCGACGAGATAGGTGCACTGCACGGCGCCGCTCAGGATCGGAGCTAGGTTGCGGCTCATGTGCATGTTCTCCTGGAAGGAGAGGGGGAAGCGCCATTGGAATGAGGACTCGGTGAAGCTGGTTCCGTAGTCCATCCTTCCGTCGTCAGTATCTTCTCTTTAACTGGACGGCGACAACCAACCAATAGGCGATCACAACCCCAAGGATTGTAACCGTCCCCTAGAGGGTCAGTAAAGCGCCCCGGATCCACGCCGGTGAACATTCACTCTGGTACACCGGCGCCGTGGACGAGGTCATCCCGTTCCCGAAACCCGTGATGATCCGGCCAGCGATAAGCTGCGCAATCATGTATGACGAGCCGAGAACCACCGTCCCGATCACCACGATCGCGCCACCGGCCATGAGCATCGTGCGACGTCCGAACTGCTCCCCGATGGGGTAGCAGACGATCGAGCCCACCACGCAGCCGATATCATACAGCGCGGTGATGTGCCCTGCATTGCGGCGTCGGGGTTGTTGAAGTCGCGGCCGAAGCGGTTTTGTGCGCCGATTATACCGGACATGACTCCTATTTCGTCTGTCAGCTCGAATTGGCGTCGAGAAAGAAGGGGGGTTTACCTTGGTCGAATCCTAACAGGAGAACGGCCAGGCAGGAGGCCATGGTGATGGCTGTAATCAAGGCCTTGCCTCGGAAGTTGATTCTGTAGAACTGTGTACGGTCTGTAGCCTTGAACGGTACATATCGATAGATGTGAATGTAGACAGGCCGGGCATCTTTATCTGATCATGTCGCTTCGTGGAGTCATACCCCGACGCAGTGAGGATCCCCCACAGTCAGGCCAAGACGGATGACGATCATGGAAGCTTTCTTGGTTTTATTTGAGGAGATAGACATGTATGTGGAGACAGCTTCATAGTGCACATGTACAGCTCTGGACCGTTGGGGGAAAGACTCCCGAACGCGGAGGCCCTCCCGGGGAAGATTGACAGAACAAAGATTCGCTTGAGGATTATCATATGGAAATGTGAGTACTAAATAGAGCCATATAAATCAGAGTCAACTATTGAGCACTTGATATTTATTGGAACTAAGCATGGGTCACTGGCAGAAGCTACGGCGGAAAGAAGCTTTGTGGCTTGTCTTACCGAGACTCGATAGAGTAGAATGTGATCATATATTAGCAGAGAAAGCGAGTACTCTAGACAGCAGAGACAGTCAACGTATGGACAATGAGCTATACCAGTCGAATGGCACATCAGAGAACCAGATCTCTGACCGGCTGTAGGTACACCTGATCAAAGCAACCTCTAAGAAACAGTGATAGTAGCAGACCCGCTGCTCTGGTACCCCTCCGTCGCAACTATCATATAGTTAAAGTTCCCCAACTTCAGACCCGCCTTGGTCCATGCATCAAAGTGGTTCTTCGTCGTCACAGTGCCGCCCACGCGGTGCGAAGTCCGAACAGACCAGTACTGGTCAAAGTTCGCCGTGCCCTGGATCGATGGCGCATTCGTCCGGGTCGTCTTGTAGAGGTCGTAGGTGCCGCCGTCGCTCTCGACGGTGCCGAGATGGGTGGCGCCACTGGAGGGGTTATAGGAGCCGTAGCTCTCCACGATGTAATATTCGACAAGCGGGTCGGTCATCCAGCCGTACACGGAGAGGTAGCTGTTTCCGCTGGGCTCCCAGGAGCCGCTGTAGGTGACCGTTCTGAATCCATTAGCTTGAACCTACCAAGCTGGGAGAAAGAATCGTACCTCTCACTGCCTGGGTTCCAACCCTTTCCAGCAACAAAGTTGCCGCAGTTAGTCCAGTCGACGCTGTACTGGCCGCCGTTGCCGTTGGTGTAGGTCACCTTGCCGCCGCCGTCGGTCCAGAAGGAGTAGTAGTAGCCGTTGTTTGTGCCAGTCTGGGAGGAGGAGAGCTGGCGCTTGGCTAGCTCGACGTATTGCTCCGAGCCGGGTGCAGCCAGCACACCAGCGACGGTGGAGAGAGCGAGAACGAGAGAAGAGAAGGATACCATATTGCTTGATTGCTTCAATGGTGAAGAGGAGGTCCTGGTGGCGACTCCAAGGCTTAAGTAGCCATTGTTTCAACGGATTTTAGCCGATGAAGGGATTACGAATTCTTTGGTCAAAACGAATCTCATGATCTCAGATAAATTGTCTGTTTCATGTTGTGATCGACACCCACTTCTGCCGGTGGGCCGTTAGATAGATATTGTAACTGGATTGAAGGAGTGATCGGCAGCATTGTCTCAGTTTCGCTGGGACATGGATTACCTGGAGCACTCCATGTCTCAGGCGGAGTGCAGACATGAGAAGAAGATTGCTGTGTTGTATGATGATTTCTCACCTTTGCCAATAGAAGAACAACCGCATTTTTTGGCTCCCATTTAAGCTTATTGATTGCCAAGGATAGGGCAGAGCACTATAAAGGAACAACTGGACATCGGCTTAATGCATGTCTCACAAATAAGCACCAGAGGAGCTATAATGCGGGGGAGGTGCAGTATCCCCGAATTTGCCGCGTACAAAAAGTAATCATTGAAAATTCTTTCCCCGGATAAACAATGCCTGAGCAGTAGGATTATCCTGCATAAATCGTGACTAGGATTGGCCTATATTTTGCCGCCAGCCGTGATGCTGCATGGCACTTTAGCCGAACGTCGACTATCGAGAGAAACTAGTCGGCAAAAGTGATAACAGTGCTAGATGCTGTTGATTTGTCGAACCTGAGCTAATAATGAATATGAGAGACCATCAGTAATGTAAAACATATGTTTCACTCAGTCCCAAGGAGAATTGGCTGTTCTTAAAATGCATGGTAGACACGAAATACATACATACATACATCCATTTCCATCCATCATGCCACCTTCTTCACATCATCGATTGCATGATTATAACCCCCATTCTCCATTTTCACTGCAACGTACGGCGGCCCAACACGATCCAGCACTTTGACCTCTCGGGGTTTGAGATACAACGGCATCGTCGCCGCAAAGTACTCTTTATAGTACGGCTTATTGGCTTGGACCTAGCGCATATCAGATCCTGCAATATATTCTCCGTATATTTACGTAACCTACCTCAACGAGCCATTCCATTGGCTTTGACCTGTCCCAGTTAGCTAAGTTCTTGATTATATTGGCGACAGCATACCAGTTTTCCACCCATGTGATTGCCCCCGGGTTCTCAGGATCTTGATAGACCTCGAAAAAAGTGCATTCTGGCTCTGCGATGACGGCCTCGTATACTGGTTTGAATGCTTTCCAGAATGTTGGGAGATTCGCTGGGTCGATGTAGACCGTCATGTGGAGGGAGATGCCTTGGAAGAGTGCCATATTGCATGCAGATGAGAGGTGACTGTGAGGTTGAATGTTGGTGATCGTTGTCTGCTTGCCTCTTCGGATAAGGTCAGTATTTATTCCGGAGATTAACGTTGAGGTTGTGATGATTGACTGTCAAGGGGTCCAGCATAACGTTATGCTGGCGCTTGGCGTCAACCCTACGGTTTATTACTGCAGAGAGATGCGACCCGAGATTGCTCATGGATTGCCATGGCATGTTTCTAGATCCTAAAAATGCTTCTGGAAGGGAACCGAATACTGAAACGGATTGCTTGATAGCTTCATTATGCAGCTCTATCGCTGATGTTGATCTTGATCGTAAGGAGTGACACATTCGGTATTACATGATAGTGAGAGACAGGCAAAAAGACGCAAGCTCCAATGATAATTGGAGTCACACAGCAAAGACACAGACACAGGATAGTCAGACAGGTATTAGAGAAGTACAGCAGGACAGGATAAACATTGTCTTTTCACCCCTTCACTGATCGCAGTCGCAGTCCTCGGAGTCATCACCGCCCGCGGACGAGTTGTCACCCTCACCAGCGTCATTACCGTAGTCATCGCCGTTGTCACCGGTAGTCGCATCAGCGCCGGTCTCGTCGCAGTCCTCACCGTTGTCAGAGCCCGATCCACCAGTCGCAGAGGCACCGGCAGAGGCGCTCGCACCGGCACTGGCGGAGGCAGTGGCAGAGGCCGAGGCGCCGCCGGTACCAGTAGCGCTGCCGCCAATGCTGATACCGCCAGAGCTGGAGCCAGAGCTGGAGCCAGAGCCGCCTGCGCTTCCAGCGGCGGAGCCGCCAACAGAACCAGAGCCAGAGCCAGAACCTTCGGTCGAGCCGGAGCCGGAACCAGTAGCAGAGGCACCCGTGTCGCCGCCGGCCGAGCCGCTAGCAGAACCGCCAGTAGAGCCGGAACCTTCAGTCGAGCCGGAGCCGGAGCCAGTAGCAGAGGCACCAGTGTCACCGCCGGCCGAGCCACCTGCAGATCCTCCGGCGGAACCACCTGCGCTTCCTCCAACACTACCAGAGCCGCCAACAGAGCCTGTGGCAGAACCTCCAGTAGAACCAGAACCAGAACCAGTAGCTGAGGCACCAGTGTCACCACCTGCCGAGCCACCCGCAGATCCTCCAGCCGAGCCGGTAGCCGAACCTCCGAGAGAACCAGTCGCGGAGCCACCAGCGGAACCACCAGCAGTACCAGAAGCGGAGCCACCTGCTGAGCCTCCAGCGGAACCTCCAAGAGAACCACCAGCAGTACCAGAAGCGGAACCACCAAGGGAACCGGTAGCAGAGCCACCGGCTGAACCAGATCCTGTAGCAGAAGCACCGGTATCACCGCCAGCCGAGCCGCTGGCCGAACCGCCAGCACTTCCTCCAGCGCTGCCACCGGCAGATCCACCGGCAGAACCACCAGCAGAACCACCAGCAGAACCACCAGCAGAACCACCAGCAGAACCACCAGCAGAAC